CAAACATCATATAAATCCGCTTTTCAAACTTTGAACAAAAATTATAAAAATTCGACAAATTTTCAGCAAATGTTCAAACTTTTTATTCAGACAGTTTTGTGGCCCATTCAATTTTAGTATAATAAAGTGCAAGTTTTTTAAGAATTCTTTTTTGCTGACGGTGTCACGCATTTTTTCCCATACAAAGTGTGCTAGAAAATTTTTTAAGTGGAAGAGAATGCCTAGCATCGGCAACAAAAAAAAAATTGTCAAAAATCAACGGTATACTAAAATTGAATGGGCTACCAAACTGAATACCAACAATTTTTCTAAAAATTCGGAATAAAAAGTTTAAAAATTTTGTGAAAATTTGACGAATTTTTATAATTTTTGTGTTACGCTTGAAAAGGGGATTTATATGGTGTTTGTTGTATAACTGGCCAGACTTTTATATAATTTTAAACATACAATAAACCATGGAAATAAAGCCAAACTCTTCAAAGTAAGGAAAGTGTATTATTTCTGCCGCCAGTACATATAAGTAGTCTCCTTAAATATTGCATGTAGTATCATTTAACGGTTTTCAAACTTTTAAATGACCTCTTAATAATAGGATTTCTGGAAATAATTAAAATATTCGTTCGTTTCATGAATGGCCGTCAAAACGTTCTTTCACATTTCAAATTAGTCACAAGGTTGGCACTCGGGCACTGTCGTTTATCTTGCAGATAAAAAAAAAACTAAGTGCGCCTGGGCCACACTGGAGAAGTGAAACTTACGTTCCGTATTTCTCATAACCAATATACATAAATATGTACATATATTCATCTGCTTTTGCTTAAGGTTATATTTTTGCCTTTTTCTGTCTAGATCCCTATCTCTACTCCTTCTTCGTTCTAATTACATACATTTATTTTATCCTGTTTTCCTTTATCTTCATTTTTATCTTTACACTCTATCGATAGTAACATGCAACAAAATATCGATAGCAAAACCGATAAAAATATCGATAAAAAATCGATGAAAAATTCGATAAAAATTTCGACAGCAAAACCGGTTATAATATTGGTAACAAAATCGATTGGAAAATCGATAAAAATAGCAATAAAAAAACGATATTAAAATCGATAAACAATCGATAAAAAAATCGATTTGAAAATCTATAATATCGATAGCAAAATCGATAAATATCGATAAACAAAATCGATAAATATCGATAAACAAAATCGATAAATATCGATAACAAAGTCAATAGATATCGATAACAATATCGATAAATACCGATAACAAAATCGATACCAAATTGGATAAATATCGATAACAAAATCGATAAATATCGATCACAAAATCGATATATATCAATAACAAAATCGATAATTATCGATAACAAAATCAGTTAATATTTATAACAAAATCGATAAATATCGATAACAAAATCAATAAATATCGATAACAAAATCGATAAAAAATATCGCTAACAAAATAGTTAAAAATACCGATTGCAAAATCGATAACAAAATCGATAAAAATAAGTTCCGAAAATATCGATAGCAAAATTGATAACAATATCGATAAAAATTTCGATAGCAAAATCGATAACAAAACCGACAAAAATATCGATTATTTTATCGATAAGTCTCGAGAATCCCGAAAATCTCTAAAATCCCAAAATAGTTCCCAGATTGAGTCTCTGTGTCTCTCTCTATATCTTTTCCTCTTTAATAACCTTTATTTTAATTTTTCTTCCCCTATCTTCATCTTTATTTTTGTCGGTATCCTCATCCTCATCTTTGCTTTTACATTTCTGCTCATCATTTTCTTCATCTATATATTCCCCTTCACCTTTGCCCTTATATATATAAGTACATATATTGCTTAAATTTACCTTAGTCTTCATTTTTGCCTATATCTTTACGCATCTTTGTTTTTGTTTTTACATTTGCCTTTATTCTTTTCTTTATCTATGTACGTACTCACCTTTACTTTCATTCTTGCATTGGTCTTTTTCTAAGTGCTATTCTTTAACCTTTTATTAGCAAATTTTTGTTAAATTAATACCATATGCATACACACAAGAAGCACTTGTTTCAGCCCCAACCATTTCCGGTGCACCATTTCCGTCTGCAATATCCGTTGAATTTGCCAATTCACTCCCAACCAACCAACCGCCGCTAAAGAAGTTTCACTTCAAAAACTGAAATCAGTATTGCAGGTTATAAAACAGTGACCCCTCTGTGCACCTTCTCGCGACCTTCTCTTGGAGTCGCGTTCTTCCACTAGGATAAAATAAACACATTTTTTACTTAATACTTCTGGTTCTACTAACATTAGTGAGCGGCCAAATTAAGTTTTTGTTTTATTTGCAAATACATATTTGGCGGCTAACTGCTGAATTTAGATACGTGATTAACGCAGCAACGTATAACAGCAATCAATTAACCAGGACGGAATCTCCTTGAGAACAGTGTGACTGGTAGTAAAGAAAATGAAAGATTGCATATGGTTTTCAGTTCGCATTTATAAGGTTACGGCGATTCATCAACAGTTTAGTTGATGTGCTATAGTTACAAAACATTATTAATTTAAAAAGTATTAGTACTGATATAGTTTTCGACATACTTATGGATATGGGTACATGATTATCGATATCTTAACCGATTTATTATCGATATGTTAATCGATATGTTAACCTATGTAGATATTATCCATATGTAAACCGAAATTGATATATGGTTATTAATATCAATGTCCAATCGATATCGTTGCTCTGCCATATTCGTATTTGTATTACGCCTTGTGTTCATAATCGCATTCAAAGCAATTGTTTTCGTACAAAATTCACATTAGGTCCATTCCTTATCTTTCTGACTAAAATCTGAAAAGTGTCAAAATGCAAGAGCGTAAGGAAAATGCGCTCACTAAAAGAGAATAACAGGAAAAAGTGAAAGAACCGAAAAAAACCAAATTTTTAGTCCGTACTTATGTCAACTCAAAATAGAATTACATATATGTAAAAAACACATTCATACAATCACAATAAACGCTTACTATGTATGTATACCAATTATTTTTCGCCTCCTTTCCATTCTCAATTCCCTTTTTTTAGTTTCTAGATTATTCTCATTTTACGTTTATTCTGTGATTTCCGTTAATTTAAATTCAGTGACACTTCTCAAGATTTTGCCAGCAAAAATTCTTCTGACTAAATCTGACTACGTCGGACTGAAGAAAGTTATAGTCATTGTACAGTTCCATAAGTAAAGTAACTCTTCTTCTTATCGTTTTTTCTGGCAGGCTGTGTTTTTGGTTCAGTGTGTTAGTGTATTTTGAATAAATTGTAATAGAAATTCAAGAAATTGTAATAGAAATTAAAGAAATTGTAAAAGATAAGAGCAAATGCCAAAAAACAGGGGATCTCAGCTGTAGGCATTTTTTGGCAATCAGCTGATGTGTTTTTACTTAGGAAACTGTACGATGATTACAGTTGCTCTCTGATTTCTGCTGTCTAGTTAAGAAATGCTTTTTTGACTAAATGTGACTACTTCGGACTATTTCTGACTTTCTGGGAGATAAGGAACGCAGCTATTGATCTGTCGCTTTTGCTTTGCACAACAGTAACAGCTGTTGACGAATTAACTAACGCGCTTCTACGAGAATCGAATGAATTTTTCTTATCAACACTCACGCTCCTATTCTGCAACCCTTTCGTATTAGGATTTTGCTACGAGTCGTAGAAATAGTATGTTGCAATCCAAATCGTTATTTTCGAAAGTCGTAACAATGGCATGCCTAAAAACGAACGGCTAAGAAATTGTTCTCTTTTTTTTGCGTAATTTTGTACGAAAACAATTCTGTGTCGGAAGTGAGATAAAGGATGTAAATCGATGTGTGTTTGCAGGAAATATTAGTGGTG